GTCTTACTATCTCCCCATGGTTCTTCTCTAAATCGTCTCCTTATCCTCAGCTCAGAAATGAGAGTTCAGCTCTTTGTCTGTTTTTGTCCAACCCTCCTCCCTCGCTCCAAACTGCAGGCACAATGGAAAGCTCGGAAACATAAAGGACACGCGTGAGCCTCGGCAAGAGTCAATCAATATCCAGACAAATAAAAGAAAAGCATACGCCAACATAACAGCTCACACTTGAGCAGTAAAGAGACAGCCTCCTCCTCCTTTTCCCTCACTGTGCTCCCTGATGGCTGAAGATGAAACCAGTGACCACTGGCAGACATGCACTGTTCTCCTGAGTCACAGTGAGCTAACAGACTCAGGCACAGTTGGCTCCAGTCACTAACCCACATTACCACTTTGCTAATGCTTTCAGGCCATCCACTGAACTGCTTGACGTTGAGCACAAATATTTTCTAAGAACTAAGTGTGCAGAAACATAAGTATTATGATCAGCATAAACCCTCCTAAAAGGGTATAATTACACTACAATGAGCTGTTTTGCTAAGGGGATTTGCAGAGGCAGACACACAAACACATGACACAGGGAAGAGAAAGAAAAGACAAGACTATCATCAGTCTTTGCATTCCATTGCTTTGGTTAATTAACATAAAAAGATCACTATAAAGAAAATGTTCAGACGTGTGCGCTGCTGCAAACCAATTGTTGTGCATTCCATTGTTTGTCATGTTGGGCATATTACTGTGTGATGTCTATCCGGTGAGTCTGCTGGTGTCTGTTGGCTCCAATATTAAAAAAAAAAAAATAAATAGTCCAGACTGTGAAGCCATGCAGACCACACCGGTCTGTAGTCCCAGTGCTATTTGAAGCACTTATTATTGTGACCACCCAAAACATAAAGAGTGGCTCCAACAGATCCCAAGAACAACCTCAGAGATCTCTGTGCAGAAAAGATACTGAGCAGAACCCTTAACCTCCCAAACCTCTCATAGAGGACCCGAGTTTGAAGTAAAATAGAACCATACAAATGCATACAAATACATACAAATACATAGTTGGCATTTGTAATTATTCTTTCTTAACATGAGATTTCTGTCCTTTTGTCTTTCCTCCTAGAGGAGACCTCCATCCTGAACCTGGCATTGTATGTATATCTCTATTCAGTGCCCTGAGATGACTTCTGTTGTGATTTGTTGCTATATAAATAAACAGAATTGAACCACTCAAGTGAATGAGTAGGG